CAATCTCTTTAGCAAACAATATTGTATGTTGCAAAGTGTGAATTTCACTACTCTTTATGCTAATATCATTTAGATAATATAATCTCTTAAAGTTTTCTATTTTTTTGAACTCTGATGAGATTATTTAAGTTATTTGGGTGTAGCCATGAAGAAAATGGTTGCATTAACTTGCAAGTAAACTGACTAATGATGTGGCCTTATAATTTCATTATGCATAAGCAACTCCCCTGCATTTAGGCAATTCCCCCCTGTTTGCCACTATATGGTTTTCAAATAGAAATGCTTGCCCTCTAGTTTCTCTCTATTACTTGTTTTTTTGTAAAGTTAATTGGTTGTTAAATATGAAATTTAATAACACCAGTGATGTTGCATCACCAGCGAAAATTGGAAAGACGTTAAAACTCCCCCACAAAAAAAGCAAACATATTAAATACAAAATATGTTTAAATATTGCAAATAATCTATCGCGTATCTCTAACAATACAGAGTTAATTTCATTGATTTTGGGTTCATTTATTCTTTTTGGCAGCAGTATTGTTAGAGATACAATATAGATGATTTGGAATACCGAAACATATTTCATATTTAATATGTTTGCTTTTTTTGTGGGGGTAATGCTAACATCTTTTCAAATTTGCATGATTGAGAATCACTGGTCAGATTGGATAGAGCTAACTGTATGTGAGGTTAGTGAAGCTTTTTCTGTACACTAGACACATGGGCGCAATTCTCCTCTCGTTACAATCCTCTCTAGGGTTCTTTTGTTTAAAATTAACCACATTGTGTATTAACATAGTGGACATGAGATGGCTTAGTCACATCTGATTGAAGCTTTTCCTTTTGGAGTTAAAAGGAAAACTCAGTACTGGATGTAGGATAGTTTCCTCTAGATGTTCATTAGTATGACCCTGAGATATGAATTTCAAGACGATGGAAGGTTTTAACACTCCTTTTCCTGGAAAGGCTTAATTAGGAAGTGATAATTCAAGGTTACCGTAGTTAAAATCACCGGTGCTGTGCTTCGCCTAGTTGCTTACTGTGTGCAGGACCGGGACAGATAGCCTAATAGCTGACATCAGTTAGGTATGGAATCAAGTGATTACCAGGAAGGGCTACAAGAAAACCACTCAAGTGTTGTAGCATTCTATCTCTCTACCTAGAATTCTCATGATTGCAAGATCCCTCAAGTTTGAGTTTGCCACTTCACCTACAAGCATGGTACTGTCTTTAGAATGCGTTTTTATGGGTGCTTTTAAGGCAGTGCCATCAGATCTCAGCTTATCACATCTCATCATTTTTTATGGCACTAGGGTTATTTAATCAGATAATGCTGCAAGATTCCTTTAAACCTTTTTGGTGTCATTTGCTTGCTTCACATGTGTTTTCTACAGTTCCTATATGCATTTGGCAGTGCTCTAATCTGAATCACTGACCGTGGCTGTTTGTAAATAGTTATATGCCAGTGGTCTAACAGTAAAGATCGCTATCACTTTTGTTATTCAGGAGAAAAATTTCATAGGAAATCGAGGCACAAACAACTGCCCTCTCAAACTCCTAAAGCAAAAAAAAAAAAAAAAAAGCATTTTAATTCTTATCTGGCTAAAAGTAATTTTAACAGCTCTGGTAATTTGATAATCCTTAATTCTTATCTCAGTTTTAGTTGGCAAGCGAAACCAAACTGAATTAATATTTTTTTAACCATCTTAATGTTTCAAATTCAGTGATTTGTATTTTACTCTAATATCAGGTTTGTGTGAATAGTATATCAACCTGTCCATGTTTTCTACAGCATATCTTTTTTGAAAATTTATGCATGCTAATTTGTTGCAACTAATCTTTCAATCAGTACATGGCATGGAGTATGGCTTCGGAGCCCATGAGTACCCAACCAGTGGGGTGTTTGAGGTGGAACCAAGAAGTTGTCCAGGGTTTATTTTTCGACGGTCTGTGTTATTGGGCAGCACCAACATGTCTCGTTCAGAATTTCGGTCATTCATGGAACATCTTTCTGCAGAATATCATGGAGACACCTACCATTTGATTGCCAAGAATTGCAACCACTTTACTGATGAAGTCTGTAAGCGATTAATTGGAAAGCCTATTCCTGGATGGATAAATCGAATGGCTCGATTAGGTTAGTCGCATATCATGTTATATGAGAAGCTACTTTCTAGTCCACCGGAGATCTTCTAGGCCTAGCACTCTGCACACTCAAGTAACCAATTATTTTTGTAAAATAAATAAATTACGCAACTCTAAATGTGGCTCTTTGTTGGAATATATGTTAGAACTGGATCCAGCTATGCCTGGCCCACTGTTTGCATGTTAACAATAACTGTTTAATAACCAACATTGATTTTTGTATTTGCAAATAATATAAATGTGGGTTATATAGCCTAGCTGCTAAAACTAGATTTTGTGGTCCAGTTTTATTTTTTTCCCAATCTGATCAAGGAGTTCTTATTTGAAGTTTCAGGTTCTTTCTGTAATTGTTTACTGCCAGAAAGCATACAGATCACAGCAGTTAGACATCTTCCAGATCATCCAACGTTTTCTGGTAAGTTTGTTCCATTAATCATGTTTCTGCTCTTTTAATTCAAGATTTTTTCTGTAAGAGAAATTTTCTTAATGGGTGTCCAAAGTTGATGAAGGCTCTGTATAAAATTGTATTCAGATTTACTGTGTATTCTTTATTACTTCTTTTTTTTTATAAGAAATGGGGTCAAAGCCCAGGAAGCAAACTAACAGTCACATGTGACGCAGAGGTAGAGCCACCCAACAACATCCTGGTACAATAAATCAGAAACAAACCTCAGGAGCATTTCTTTGTTGATTTTTTTGATAATGTAGAAAATGGATCGTGATAGCAATGATTGGGTGCCATACTTGAACAATGGAAATCTGTGGTCTAAACTGCCTGCTGGCTACAGATTGTCCTAGCTGTCTCCCTGTTTGGGACTTAAATGGTGATGGTCATGGATGCTAGGAAGTTTACTGTGCTTGGCTCTCATAATTATTCTACCTGCATAGGTGGCCATTCATGTATAGAACAATGCATAAATAGTTAGTGAAACCATTTCCATTCAAATGATTGAGCTCTAGGTCACTGTAATGACTGCTTTGATTGTAAAGAAGGGGTGTTGCTCTTCTACATTGGTGTGTGCATGTAAAGGCCAGGAGACTTCTGCATGTGGTTGTTTGGTATTTTGATGAATATTATGTTTTCTTACCTTGATCCTAATACTGATGTAGATGACGACGATGATGGGTTGGAATCTGTTGGATCATCTACAACATCAAGGAGCGAAGAAGAGGGTTCAAATCATCATCTGCTCGCTTCACCAAATGGTGAAGTTGCCTTTTTAAAGGAGAAACCAGTGAGGCTAGCAAGGGAACTCCTATAAGGTTTGTCCTGCAATTATTCCTTTTCTTTCTATCTTGGATGTCTCTATTATTTGTACTGTTGTGTACGATCTTCAGTAGATCGGAGAATGTGCCTTGGCTGAATTATTTAAATGCTTCAGTGTATGTTTCCTGGTATATGACAATCTCGCCCCAGAGTGCCTGTGATTTCTCTAGATAAATGATTATACCTCAGCTTTTTCTCGTACCAAAACAGCTTATGTACTTTCATAGTTAGACAACCCTAATCGGGCTGCTCATATATATCAATTTCAAAGAAGCTCTCTTTGTTGGAGTGCTTGATGTGGATCGTTTATATCTTTCTTTTTTTTAAAAAAAAGTTGGAATTGACATGAACTCTGATGCAAATGAAAAAGGTCATGTTCGGTGCACGCTGATATAATAGAATGCCAATCCAGCGAGTCAAGCATTTAATGCGTGGCCGAAATGGATTCCTGAAGTTTTCAATATGTCTATTCCTGAATGTAGTTATCACTTCAGTAAAAAGCAATAAAGTTGATTGCTGAAATGCAAAGAACCTAATTATGGTTTTTTCGATAGCTACAAAATAGAAAAAGAAAGAGAGTGCTTGTAGGAAGGCTACGAGTAATTTACACATCTTGAACAACAAAAGTCTGAACTTGACTTTTCGAGTCTTCTGCCATTACACCAATGTCCCAGTTAGGAATTCAACCCACTTACTTTTATACTGTGGAATTGCATGAATTTTAGCCATGATGTCCAGAATCTCTTGCAAGGTCGTCAGTGTTCGATTTTAACAATATACAACATGCTGTCAAACAAAAGAAAAATGGGTGAAGAACACGATAAATTATTTTCCTTGAAGTTCGTTTTTCGAATTAATCCACGTTCAAATCGTGGGAGGCCTAAAGATTTCGTGAAAGAGAGGCCATCGGTTGGATTTTAGTCAACCTGAAGCTACTAACTTTGTTCCTATGCCCTAGTTGGGTCCCAACCAGCCTCTTGAATACCCCTAAACCGAATTTCGAAGGCCTGAGGAAACTTGCAAGAAACCCATTGCTTTTTGTAAAGCAAATATTCTTGCACCTTGTTTAGCGAAAGCAGCATGACAAAAGAGTAAAAGACTAAAAGTAAATAAACGCCACAATGCAAACATGTGACTTAGGGCAGTCTCACACTCGGTTGAGATCGTCTGTCTTCCGGTCTTTTACTTATGGCGTGCTATTATTTATCAGCCATGTTTTTTTATGCGTTTTAAAAATATTTTAAAAAATAAAAATTTTTATTTTTTTATTTTAAATTAATATATTTTTAATGTTTCAAATTAATATATTAATATTAAAAATTTTTTTTAAAAATAAAAATAATATTAATATATATTTTAATATAAAAATTTATTTAAAAAATAACCATAATTACACTGTAAAATAAGCTTCCCTAGCTCCCCTCCTTCACGTTTCCATAACACAGGAACCTTCTTTGTCAGGTAGGCCAAGTTCTCTAGAAAAGAGGTGCCTAGTAAGGAAAGTAAAAATTAATTAATTATTTAATTAATTGCCGTCTAAGTAACTTGCTTCCTAGTGCTTTTTTCCATTGAAAATAATATATTTTGTTTGCATCTTTGTATGTTCCACTGGGAAAAGCAGTGATAAGACTTCCTTGGTAAAGTTAGTAAATTACTAGGAAACAAGTTACTTAGAAGGCAATTAATTTATAGCGCGGGGTAAATATTTTCTTTATAAGCTGACAGTTGACAATATCTATATAAATGGATTTTATTTTGCGTACATATCAATCAGACAAGGTCTTTGTGCCATGTCTTTCTATATGACATAGAGAGGGGGGAGAAGCAAGGAGAAGCAGCCAAACTATTCAGTATTGCCGGACCTTGTGAGTTGCGTCTTTGTTATTACAAACAATGGATGCTTGTATGTTCTATATTCTCTTTTTCTCCATGTTTCTAACCATAAAGGCTCTTGAATCCAACTGCCCAACGGTTAAGTGCAGTCACGACGGTCCTGATATTCGTTTCCCATTCCGGGTAGCAGGCCGGCAGCCTCAGCACTGTGGTCAACCTGGTTTCGACCTTGTCTGCAAAGAAAACACCACCATGATTGATTTTCCATCTTATGGACCCTTGGTTGTGATATCCATCTCTTATGACTTCAGAAAACTCAGTCTTCTTGACCCCAAAAATTGTGTCCATGAAGTCTTTCTTAATCTCAACCCCTCTGGTACACCTTTCCGGTACTACTATCTTTTGAAGAATTTCACATACCTCAACTGTTCAACCAGGCTTTCGCCTTCTCTCAACGAAGTTTCATGCTTGAGTGACTCTAGGAATCATGTTTACACCGTAGAATCCTCGTTTCACCTGCCATTTTCTTGCAGGCAATTGAAAACTATTCCCATTCCATTTTCATACAGTCCTTATCTTGCTGACAATAGTTTTGGCCTTGGATTGACTTGGAGTTTGCCTGGATGTGAAGATTGTGAATCAAGAGGAGGCTCGTGTGTGTTCCAGTCCAAAGAAGGACTGAAAACAGGCTGTCCCCGCATAGCACAGGATAAAGGTAAAGTCAACACCTTTCGTGATCTTTACATTTCCTCCAGATCCTCTCTAACATAGCAATTCTGTAGAACGGCCATTTCAGTTTTTGTATCTGCAGTCACAACACAGTAAATAGAACAGGATTGATCGTTGAATATAACGTTTGCTAGCTTGAAAAACACAACAAAAACATTCCTGCTTGTAGTCAAGTGTAAATTGTGGATCAACAGTATAAACTGCTTGTGTTAATCCTGGTCCACTGCTAGCTACTAGGCATTGCTGACTAAGAGGTTACTGATCTGATGCCTGGAACAGGTTGGTCAAATTGGCAATGACTTTGAATTGTAAACAATACTAGGAAAATCCTTCTGGGTATTTGATGAAGTGTCCTGGGCACCAGAGAGAGCACCCATTTTCTAAAATGTCACACTCACTTTTTTCCACTTATAAGTATTATCTACAGTACCCACACACATTTTTCACAATTACTAAGCACTTATGCCCTTTTCATCCTTGAGAAATTAAAGTATTAAAGTTTTTTGTTTTCCATTTAGATCCTCTGCTGCCATTTTTAGATGCAACCGTGTAAATAATTTGATCTGGAGATCAGTTTAACATTCAAATCATAATTACTTGTGCAGGTTTTTCAGTTGTACATTTATTGTCAAGTGGAACTGGGTCTATGATCTTGATCATTCTGGTGTTTATTTTCGTGATGACAACAATGATTAGCATCAAAGTCTGCTTTAGGCAGAAACTGAAGGTGGATAAAGCGGCAGAAAATGAGAATCTACTTTAGGCAAGTATACAAGTACAAATGAATGTTTCGTTCCCCGCATCCTCAAGACAACCTTTAAAGATTGAGATTTCAGAAGGATATTATTAGTAACAGAAGTCGAGCGCTGTCGCTGTGTATTGTAGAAAAACAGACTTAGCTCTAGATAATTAAACTGTGATATGTCATGAGTTGGGTTAAATTTTTCTTGAATGTAAAGGAATGTTTAGGTGTTATTAATATTTTTTCCGGTAAAATAAGATTTAAATTGTATAAGAGTTGATATGTTATAATCTGATTGATTTTACATATCTAAAAACAAATCATACAATTCGTAAAAAACATAGTTTAATTAAAAAGATTTTCAAAATGATATCTTTTTATAATATTAAGATAATAATATATTAGATGGAGTTAGATTAACCCAGGTTAACGTGTTAAATATGCGATCCGAGTTATAAGATTATGATAGCTCTATAAAAACAAATTAAAGTAAATTATAAAGTTTAATTTTCAATCAACTCAATGATTAAAGATGAAATTGAAAAAAAAATCAATTATAAAAGGAACTAAAAGAGTGGCCAGAGTTAACCTGTAAAACTTGTGACTTGGGTCATAAAACCGAGATAATATCATGGAAAACAAATCAAAAAAATTATGAATTCCAATATCTAATTAGCCAAATGTTGAAGGATAAGATTAAAAAAAATCAATTAAAAAGAAACATAAAAAATAACCCGAGTCTATCCACCAAATCCTTGACATGAGTCATCAAATTGATATAACCTCATAAAAAAAAAATGACCTGGTTTAACTTGAGTTAACTTTCAAATCTATAACTTTGGTTATAAAACTGAGATAACCTCATAAAGAGTAAATTAAAATAAATTATGAAGCTCAATTTATAATCGCTCATGTCAGATCCAATATTGAACGATAAAATTTATAAAAATTTTAATTAAAAAATGACACAAAAAATAAACCAAGTCAACCTAGGTTAACCCGTTAAACACTATTACTAGGTCATGAGATCGGAATAATCTAATAATAAGAAAATTTAAACAAGTCATGAAGTTTGATTTTCAATCAAACACATATTAAATGATAAAATTGAAGAAAAAAGTCCGTTTAAAAAAAAATAATAATCAAGTCAATTAAATTATCCCGTCAAATCTACAACTCAGATCATGAGTCGATGATAACCCATTAAAAAAAAATTCAATGTTGAAGGACCTAAGATTTAGAGCATGAGAACAAGATAACCTCTTAGAAAAAAAAATCTAATTTAACCAAGGTTAAAATGTTAAAACTTACAATCTTGATCGTGAGACTACTAAGATTAGAAAAAAAATAAAAAAAAATCATGAAATTCAATTCCTAATCAACTCAATGTAAAATGATAAAATTAAAAAAAATTAATTAAAAATATAACACACAAAACAACTAGAGTCCACTCAGATTAACTCGTTAAGTATTATTCTTGGATCATAAGAGTCAACTTAATTTTTTTTTTGTTATTTTAGTCATTAAGTTAAATGATTTTAATAAACTCAATTAACTTAATAATATAATTAAAAAATAAGATATCGACAACAAATAAAGAGAAAAAACAACAATGATTCAATGTAAAAGATGAACACTTGCGATATTATGAAAATATATCTTTATAACATTTTTAAAACATCTCAATAATCTTATTTACTATCAAAATAAAAATTAAATTAAAATGAGATGAGATGATTGTATAGAAAGAAAAAAAAATGCATCTCAATTTCTGGTATATAAAAATAACAAAAGAAAAAAGAAAAAAATTTACAAAAACAAAAAAATATTGACACAAGTTTCTTTGAGCTATCACATATATGAGTTCTAAAAAATACATCACCTAAAAAAATTGAATATAATAATTTTTTTGTCATTTTACTTTAGCAAAAATCAAACTAAATTTATAACTTAGCAGTTGAATCGGAATAACTCTATAAAAAAAATAAACTAAATAAAATTAAAAAATTTAATTTTCAAAGCAACATAATATTAATGAGCCAAATTTAAAAAATAATAATAATTAAAAGCAATGAAAAAATTGGTTTAAGTCAAACTTAGTAAATTCATGGCTGAAGATATAATATTGGGATATTTTTATAGAAAATAAAAAATAAAAAACATTGATTTCCATCTAACTAAGTGGTGTTGAATTAAATTAAAAAAGAATAAAATTGACCAAACCAATTTGGTCCCATTGTGAGAAATGATCTTCTGTCCCGTTGTATGTCGGGCCATACATGACAAGTGCAACGTCAGAGTTGTGGGCATCAAATCTGAGAAGCTTTGCCACTGGTGGAACTGCTTCGATTTGTGCAAATCGCAGGGTTCAAAATTCAGGTTCATCATTACCATGGTCCTGACATTGTAACGATAGTTACTTGAGAAGTTGTGGATCATACTGTTTCCAAAATTGAAGGATCATAGAGTTTTCTGGGAAGATAGTAGAGTTAACAGCAAAATTAGAGGCAATGAAACACAAGTACAAGCAGAATATCGAATTAAGAGAATCATGCTTTATGGAGAAGCGTTTAGAGAAGCTTCCGCGTCGAAGTGGAAGACTGGAGGTAGCGGTCTTGTTTGATGTCAGCCTGAAGATGCAAAAACATACTGTTTGTACTCAACACTGCTGTTCGTAATATCCTTATCATATACCTGCATACTGTCTTGTGATGCTGGTTTTACCAATCTCTGCCAATGTTCTTGGGACCTTCTTTTTTTGTTTTTTTTTTTGGTTGATTTGTGAAGTGAAAAGATTAGGTTGAAAAATGTTGCTTCCTCTAAGTGATTAGCATCATTTTATTTATCTGTCATCAGCCTGATGCCATCTGAAGTACTGCTGCATCTTTTTTCATGATAATACTGCTTCATATAGATCCTAACAGGCTATCACAATTCAAAATTTACACCTGAAGACCAATGACTCTCTGCTGGATACGATCATCTGTCTACATTCCTTGTTCTCCACTTGTTGCCCTGTTTCCAGGAACAATGACTTTCTTTGATACCAAGAAAATAGAAAAATCCATGACTGATAGAAGACTGACTGTCAACTTAAAATGAAACTATCAAACTAAAACATGTAGATTCTGGAAGTCCCATCTGTCATGGACAACTAACGTTACTTAGTTAATGTTTAGGAGTCGGACAAAGATTATATTTTAAAATGTTTTTTTATTTAAAAATATATTAAAATAATATTTTTTAAATTTATTTTTAATATCAATACCTCAAAATTATTAAAAATTTCAAAAAAAATCAATTTTTTTTAAAACACAATTTAACGTAAACCTTATTTGAATACACTATTTTATTTTCGGAGATTTAGGCCTCAACTTGGTAGTTATCATATTGCATTTCAAGTTTAATAGTTTGATTATATTTGTATTTTAAAAAAATTATTTTTTTGTTTTAAATTAAAAAAAATTAGTATTTTTAGATTTTTTTTAATATACTAATATCAAAAATAAAATTTTAAAAAATAAAAAAATATTTTAATACATTTTCCAATAAAAAAAATCATTATAACAACAACAAACATAATTTAAACTTCTAAGATACTCGTAGACTCCTCGAGACGTAAGTTAACAGGCCATGGAAGGAAGAGTGGTAGGTAACCACAAACAAATAACATGAAAATTAATATTACCAATTACAATAAAAAAAATCATTATAACAACAACAAACATAATTGAAGCTTCTAAGGATACTCTTAGACTCCTCGAGACGTCAGTTAACAGACCATGGAAGGCAGAGTGGTAGGTAACCATAATTCTTGCTAATTGCTCTCCACAAAATAACTATGCCAAAGAAATAACATGAAAATTAATATTACCAATTAGGCAATTATTTGTATTTTTTTTTTTCGACTTCACACCAAGAAGCATTTATAAGACTGCTCCCCACATGAGTGCCACCAGCCTAGTAGATAATGAGTTGAAAAAATGACATCTTTTCACGTACGCTACGCTTTCAGTATTCACGCTTGTTTTTTCCTGCCAACCCATAAAACACCACCAAGGCCCATGGGCCCCATAAACAGAGAAAAAATGTGATATGCAATTTCGCTCCTTTAGTTTATCAAAACTAACTGATTAGTCCCTATATTATAACAATAATTAAAAAACCCCTAAATAGAACTTATCATTCACAATTCAGTATCTACGAATCACATCCTCCCATCTTACCTGTCTCCTTTCTTTCTTCTATTTTTTTTTTGTTTTTAAAAATAATTAATTGTAATATACTTACATGGAGTAAAGGACTAATTAATAGCTCCATTAAACTAAAAGTAGTAAAAAAAAAAAACACAGTCTGTTTTTATTTTTATTATCCAATAGGTAAGTCTAATTGGCGACATCGAGAAGCAAAGACAACAAACGAACAAGCGGAGATTATTATTTGATCAGATCGATTGTCCAAATAAATGCCACTGCCAGAGTCATGAGTGTTTTTATTGCCTCCATGTTTATAGCTTTCATCCACCAATCATAGAGACCTCCACTTCAAATTCTGCTTCTCCTATAATTTCTACTTGTTTCAAAAGTTGCTGGAGCAGCTCAAAAATCCAACACACCATTCTCTTCTCCTCTTTTCTCTGCTAGAAAAAAGAAACGTGTTACTACCATCACGAACACAAAATCCCAATCATGGCTTTTCTCTTCCCTTATTTTGCCTTTCTCTTTGTTGTTTTTGTTTTTGTTATTGACCCAGTTGCACATTCCTTACCCTTTATAGTTCTTCATGGTAATCATCTCCTTTTCTCTTCCAAAGTTTTTGCCTTTTTTTTATTTGATTTTTTTTACTGATCTGTTCAAATATTTGGCACTTTTCTCTTTCTAGGTGTGTGTATTTAGTCAGATAAAAGCTGATTATGGAATTCTTTGGAATCTGATTTTGTCCATCTGTAGAAAGTATTGTTGTGCTTCTCTGTAGTTTACTATTAAAGCGAGTTGTACTGTTTTGTTTACGAGAAGATATTTTTTTTTTTTTATGAATGAGAAGATGGTTATAGCGTGATGTTATTACTAGGTTTGGAAATTGGCCTTGAGCAGTGGCATTAAATTTGTGTTTTGATATGTTGCCTACACAACAACACGGTTTCTATTAATCTGTTTTATGAAGAATTTGAAATAAAAAAGATGAGCTTTCTGTGGGTAT